AATATATCTGTCATTTTCCCACTCCTAAACTTCTACGGCAAGTCAGTTTTCAAATTAGAATTGCTACAACCAACACTAGTTGCTTGCTCTAGATCATTGTATTTAAAACTTGGCAACTTGAAGGTGTGTGGACTTCAACGCCCAGAATTCCCCAGCCAGCCATGCTGGCTAGGGAATTCTGGGAGTTGAAGTCCACACATCTTAAAAGTTGCCAAGTTTGAAATACACTGATCTAGAGCAAGCAACTAGTGTTGGTTGTAGCAATTCTAATTTGAAAACTGACTTGCCGTAGAAGTTTAGGAGTGGGAAAATGACAGATATATTCACACAACAGAATGAACCACAACTAACCAACTACAGTCACAGCATGGAATGCAGTTTTTTTAAAAAAAAAACGTGTAGCCCAACAGTAACATTTTTAAGGAAAAAAGATAGGTTGAGAAACCCTGCAGCAGTGTAAGGAGCTTTAATTTTGCGTAAAGCCCCCCACTGGATTAATAATTAACGAATGCCACTTTCCTTCTATTCCTACTGCCTCAGCTACTTACTGTACTCACAAGAAAACACAGCTAATAAAGCCACAACTACACAACAGACCTCCGCCCCCAGCCAATTTCTAGGGCGCTTGGGGTACAGTGATTGGCTACCGAAAAGGACGCCGAGGCTTTCCCATTGGTGGAAACGCACGTGCCACGCAGGCGAGGCAAAGAAATAACGGAAAAGGGGTGGGCAAATGCTGGCTAGTTCTCTGGGCTAGCCGGCCTAATATTGTTGTGGTATAGCTGGGTTGGATAAAATGCAGGAAGGCAGGTAAAAATGGCGTCACTCCCCGATTTTCAGGAAGGTGGACCAGGCGAGGCTCAGCGGAAAAATCACGTCGAGGGCTGCCGGCAACGCGGAGTACCAACTCGGCGGGTCCCCATGAGCGCTTCCGCAGGTGATGTGATGGCAAAGCTGGGTGCCGGTCTTGGTTTGTAACAGAGGCCGTTTCTAACGCGAGCAGGCTTGCGCGCGAGGAAAAGTACCAAGCGTGCTGCTGTTCCTCGGAGGCCGATCACCAGACAAAGGACAAGTTTGCAGCCCAAATCAGACACGCCAAAGGCTGAGGACGCGACTGCTCAGTCCACAGGGTTGCAACTCGGAAGCAAGCACAAGCACGCACAGGATCAGGCCTCGCGGCATATTCCCCGTCAATATTGCCTCGTAACGTGGGATGTAAATTCCCCGGAGTTCAGAGTTTGGGAAAAGTTATGGTGGGGCATCTTGCAATTCCCTGGGGTCTGTCTTCCCGGCCGGGCTGATCCTACGCGTGCCGGTTGAGCTCAGTGGAGCTGGTTTCGAATTGCAACCGTGTGGACGTGCTCACCTAGCCGTAACCCTCGACAGCCTTGGTGCAGCTTACGTCCCCATGAGCCCGCTTAGAAATTGCTTTATCTAATAGGCTGTTGGAGGGCGATGCCGGGTCTTGGTTGAGCTCGACTGGAAAGGGACGAGGTGTTACCTCATGCTGGCTCGCTTGAGGTAACACCTCGTCTAACTGCTGTTAGGGTGGCAAACCCGCACGCGAAGCCCTCTGCTTTCCCCCTTCCCGCTCGTTAGCAGCGGCGGAAAAACCGCGCCTCCTGGATCAGAAACTTAGAGCTCTGCCCGGTCTCGGGCGGCCATCCCCACTTCCTCCGACGGGGCGCGACTCGAAGCTGGGGCTTCTCACGAGTGGCAGCAGCGAATCGGGCAAGAGGCGGCCATTGGGGAATTAATATTTTTTTCGGACAAACCTCAAGTTACTTCAGGGCCAGATTTCAGTTGGAGTTGCTGCCATCTCTACCCGGTGCGACAGTAGTGCTGGCTGCGAATGGTGGGAGTTGTCCCTGCACCTGCTGCATGAGAACTCTGGAGTTGAAGCTTCAGCATATTTTAGAGGGCATTTGATTTGGGACTGAGATTTATGTTAAAGATCTGGGATCACTCATCCCAGCTCTTTACAAAAGCAGTGTTGTAAACTTCGTTGTTGTATGGCCCAGTTTTTGCCCATCTCTTCAGAAGTCCTCTTTGGAGAGAAGAAGCAAATAATTTTATGGACAGTTTAAAGTTCAAAGTCAAAGTATTCTTTATTGTCATTGTACTTCTCCTACAACGAAATTAAATGCCACCCCAGTGCAGTTCCTAATTAAGTAGGTAACAGTGGCACCTTTGCAGAGGCCTAGGGGTATAGTGTATGAATAAAGTATGCTGAAGATACCAAAGACAGAAATAATTACGTTTAACTTTTTTTCCTGTCATTGTAAACATCTTTCCTAGTCAGAATCCTGTAGTTGGTTACAACAGAATTAATAAAATATCTGTTGTAAAATTTAGTACCGGTGTTGTCTTTCTAACGTACTTTGTCACAGAAGTAGTAATATAATGATATGTTTGCTTGATTTCTTTTTAGATTTGAAATTTCAGAATTCTAGCAGTGCCGAAGGACAGGAGAGTGTCATTTCAAAAGTAATTGAATGATTTATTTGTGGGTATAGAAATATTAACAGGACTGGAGCCAAATGTTTGGTGGCAAAGCTGTTTAAAAGTACACTGGTGGGTCTAAGACAGATAGAAATATCAATCATTAATACAAGTTGCTTCATATGCTTTGAATTTTGTAGTTCCATTAAAGAATTTTAAAAACGGTAGTGCAAAAATGAATATAAAATACTCCCAAATCATGCTGTGGTTACTAGCTTTTTCCTTTTGTTCTGTTAAAATTCACTAGAATGTTGATACTTAAATTTGATTTGAACAGAGTATTGCTCATACACCATCATGGTATTTGCCCATAATTATTTAAGTACAGATTACTGTTAAGATTAAATTACAATCCTGATGCATTTACATAGGAGTGAACTCTGAAATTCAGGGGACTTTCCAGTAAACCATGAACCAAATTTAATTTTTATCTGTAGCTAAAAAGCTGAATAGTTTAGTTGAAAAAAAATACTAAAACATTATTTAGGCAGAAAATAACATGTAAGTCTTTACAGAATAAAGGGAGTGTCAGTCCCTTTTCTCTCAATAAGCCAGGGTTCCTCAACCTTGGCAACTTTAAGACAGGTGGACTTCAACTCCCAGAATTCCCCAGCCAGCCAGCCGTCTTAAAGTTGCCAAGGTTGAGGAACCCTGCAATAAGCAATAATGGGTGGTTTCAGGTGTCCGGAGTGGGGGCGCAGGATGAGGTAAATGCCAAAAAATGATTCATGTCACAAAACAACTTACATACTTGCATCAGATGCATCAGATATCACAATGGAAGCATCTAAGGATAGGATTTGTGTCATGATGACACTGGATGCATGTCATCCCTTGGAAGTAATTTTGTTTTGCCAAGGTGTCCTGTGGGGGAGTAGAAAAGAGATTTTGAGAGCTGCATTCAGAGCAGTACAGCACAAGGTACAGCTTGTTCTTCTGCTAAACTGAACTAAAGCATATTCATGCAACATTCAAAGGGCCGTCTAGTTTTATAAAAATGCTTTATTGATTTTTTTTTTTTTTTTACTTTAGGTGGCTTTAGATTTTGAACAAAAAGTTCATCTTAGGAGTTTGCAAAAACATAAAAGGTAAATTGTGGGAAATTTGACACGTGGGCTGGATTATGTACACTATTTAGAAAAAAATAATGAAAGGTGCTTGGTGTATCACGAGGAGTTATTCTTGCTTAGGATTTTGTGGGCTACATTAACTTTGTTAAATGCAGAGATGGTTGTGCTTGGTTTTGTGTGGAGAGAGAATTTTGAATGATGAGATTAATGAGAATGAGGACGTATTATGCTGAACCACATTATTTTTATAATGGACTTGGTGGAGGATTCATGGAACATCCTAAATTGAAATCAGACCAGTTGCATTTTTGGAGCAATGTGATATGTGAACCCAGCCATTAAGAATGATACAGACATAACATATTCCTTTAGGATAAGCAATGTTATACAAAGTGCAGAAGAAGGGTAAGCAAATAGTAAGCAAAAGAAATTGGAGACAAGAGATGAGATTTCCTTTTGTTTTTCACCAGTACCATTCACTATAGTTTTTAATACTTAGAAAGGTCATCTTCTTCTTTTTCTAGATCCCTATGCCAATTCATAGAATCTTTTGTTTTTAAAATTCATCATCTTCTTCCACTCAACTCATTTGTTCTTCCTTTATATACTTGTTTTGCAATTTGATTTTCATTCATTCTTTCTACATGAGCAAACCATTTAAACATACTTGTTTTTAACTAATCACTTTCTTATTTAGTCCACATTTATATTTTACTCATTCATTCTTAACCTTATCTCTTCTTATTTTACCATATACACTTTTAAGAATCCATTCTCACTGACTGTAACTTACTGTGTTTTCCCACTTCCATGAGACAAAATGGGCAGAAGCATGCTTTTATGTACAGCCATCCTATTTATGTTGACAAATACTTACTTATTGCAACAGTCAATGCTCCTAACTTCCTTTAAAGCACTTGCATGCTTTTTAAAAATATTTTAAAAGCAATTAAAATTAATTAAAAATAATAGAAAAGGAAAAAAACAAAACACCAAAATATACATTGTCAAATAAAAATACGTAAGTACTTAAGTGAAAAGAATACAACAGAAATATATATATCATTACAACAATATACAGTTACAATTCTATATGTAATTTTCTAATACAAACATGCAAGTGTGTGCGTGTGTGTATATTTCTAATACATTTATATAACATCCTTTTTTTTTTTTACCTACTGTATTTTGCATAAATGAGTCCCATATTTCACTGTACTTACCCATACAAAGTCTGCGTCTATAGGCAATCCGCTCATAGGTGGCAAGTGTTTTTAGTTTTGTTGTACGCTGCTCAGAGTTGCCTGTGGTGAGACGGACAACTATATTTAATAAATAAATAAGTGTAATCAGGTCTTCAATCCATTGAGTAAATGGGACCATACATTTATCTTTCCAATGCTGTGATATAAGTCTTTTAGCTATAGTAATGGCACGGAGAATCCATTTACGTTGTCCTGTTGTCAAATTCCATGTACTAGGTATGTAATTCAAAAGAATATTATCCTCTGAATTGCATGCCTTAACATTTCTCCATTTCTGTACTTTTAGTAAACATTCAACCAAGGTGCATAAATTCATATATTTCATCTAGTTGTATGCCATTTGTTTATTAACAGCAATCACTCAATTTCCCATTACAAACACAACTATCTTGGTCTTTGATGCATTAATTTTCAGGCTCATCTTGTTTGTTACATTATATAGTATGTGTAAGATTCACTGCAAGTGTCTGGAGGTTGTGTCATGGCAACTGGACTTCTTTTCTTTTTGGTAGAGACGTTTTGCTACTTGTCCAAACAGCTTCTTCAGTCTAAAAAAAGTTGGTTAGGGGGACCCCATAAAAGTCTTCCAGGGTGGC